AATACTCTGAAAGCCTACAGCCTCCAAAAACTCCCGACTACCTTCCACAGTCTTCACCTTTTCCTGAGGAAAGTGAGCAGACAGGGAAAGGAAGAAGTGAAGCCCCCACAGAAAACCATGTGGCATATAAACCTATCCATGAATCAAAAATACCTGGAACACCTTGTTGCTGAGTTTAATTTTCCTGTACTTCTCCTCTGTGGGGTTCTTACAGATGTTTTCAATGTACCTGACAAAAAGGTGAAAATAAATTAAGGGTCAAGAGATTTCATGAATTCTTGTGAACAAATACATCCTTGTGAATAAGTATATTTACATGTAAAATAACTGTACATAAACAGTAATAGCGGTGCGTGTGGTGTTAGTCAAGTAAACTGCATTCTCCATCTTAATTGGTATAAGGTAAAACTTTATGAACTTGGAGACAAAAACATCTTATTCTTTGACGAATCTGTAAAAGACATGTCATTCTATCTTTGTATTTGATCTGCCCATGTGCCAGCAGTATTAGAAACCTTTTGGTTAGTTAAAACAGAAAATAGATCATGTTGTGAAATATTTTCCCAAACAAATGTTATGTCAGAACTCCTATACCTCTGGTAGAACATTTTCATTAATTATCTGCATTTATTCAGGACCGGGTCAGGTCAATCCTTTTGGACTATGTTCCACTCCCTTCTATGTTTCTTACTTGCTTATAATGTCCACTGCAGCCTTGACTTTTTCCCTGTCTTTGTTGAAGGTATGAATCATCATAACGGAAGCCTCCACTGCATCCTCTTCAAACCGCTGATGGAAAAAAGTTAACCGTGCATAATTAATCAAGACCATACTAATCACACAGGAGGGCGTGATCGTGCTTCATTAATCAAGACCATACTAATCACACAAGAGGGCGTGACCGTGCATAATTAATCAAGACCATACTAATAACACAGGAGGGCGTGATCGTGCATAATTAATCTAGACCATACTATTCACACAGGTGGGCGTGATGCAAATGAATGCCTAGGCTTTTGACCACAATACTTCAATCCTTTAACAATGATATAAATTATAAAAGAAAACATTGATTTCATACCTACCATCAAAATTGCCTCTTTTATGTGCACCTCTCTCTCGCCCTTAGTTAAGGTGGCTCCAGTAAGTGGGCAGGTGAAATACACACCTTTTACTGACAGGAATGCTGGGTCCTTAACATAAGAGCCCTGGAAAACATAACACATAGGTTACTAGGAATGATTAAGAATTGCATGCAAGTTGTGGCACGATTCATTTTTATGCTAGCAAAGGTAGCGAAAGGCTAATCGGTTTATACGGTTTCTTGCCTCAATAGTTGCTTTCCTTTCCTTCCCAGTAATTTCTAATGCTGAAGCCTCAGCCTCAAGTTCTCTTTTCACTGTGGAGGGAAACACAAAATACGCAATAAAGATTATTAACTTATAACCATAATCCTCGATTTAACAACACTGAATTAAAACACCTGCACAGACCACTGTTAGCATAACCAGTCACTCATGTAGCAGTTCTAGGGTGGTGTGCAATTTTTTCATGGAATGGGTGCCCCATTGTGTCCCCAAGAAACAATTATAAATGAAATCATTATGAACATAATTACATTTGTCATTTTTAAATATATGATCACTGTGCCTTTCTGTTAAAAAATATATATATTTTTATATCAGTTTTATACAGAAAAGGGTGAGGCATTTCACTTGAGTAGGACGTTTCATTTGTAAAATGTAGGCTATATGTTCATTGTTTTACATTTCTTTTAATTGTTATCTTATTGCTAAACTGTGTTTAGAATGATATCCTAAATGAATTAATATGTCTCTAACAGGGTTGACATAACAATTAAAACATTTAGAAGAAAAAACGTCCTTATTCATGGCCTGAGATGGCACGATACAGTTTCTTGTTACTTCAAGCTGTCTTTTGTTAGAAGCAATGCAAATAATGATGATAAATGAAAATAAAAATTGAGAAAGCACTGATTCCACAGAATGACCTACGACCCATCTATCTCACCCTGCAGTCGAATGGTATCCTGTGAGCTCTGAACCCAAGGACGGGATTGGCCCTCGATTCTGGCCAGTGCAGCAGCCCCTGCCATTTGGGCTCCTTCAGTGGGAGTAACATGACGGGGCTTGGCATGGCCACTGCTTTGCACAGTTTGGGGCTTGGAGCTGCATGGGGAAAAGGGGTTCATAAAGGGTTCATTATTTGACTACACAAACTGCATTCTTTGCGTTGACGTTAACATTTCACACATTAACCAGACGTCCCAATCAAGAGCGACGTACAAATTGTTTATGTGAAGCTAAACAACTACATAGCGAACTATTACGAGGATTTATAGTTAAAACATAGTAGATGACACACGTAATCTATAGTGTCATGACCATTATACGACGAAACACACTAGCTGGCTTTATCGATTATAATCTGGCAGGTATTTAATACAATACAAACTACGAACTTAAAGCTTATCAATTAGCTATATGGAAAAGTGTATTTACCTGCCATCGTCGGCGAGTTTCTTCCCTGGTCCCGCTGACTTGAATTTTATATCTTTCTTTATTTCGTCGAAGAATTTTTTCATTGTTTATCAGAGACGAATTTGTGAACTAGGTGAGAAAGGCTTAGCAAATTGTTTACATCAAATTATAAAAGGTGAAAGGAGACCGGAACTGTCGTTCACACAATAGTAATAAATTGGTTACAGCGGCCCCTGGTGGTCTGGGTGTACAACCAGGGGGTTGTGCGTTGATGGATTTTTTTAACCATTTAACTAGAACGTAATTCTCATTTTCAATTACTCCTGTCACTTCAGATATTGTATATTTACATTTTAAAATAAGAATACAGAAAAACCCAATGGAAAAAAAATTAAAATCAATAGATACAGCAACGTAGGTTTGACGGTGCAGGTGCATTTATCAGCAGTAAAAAAACAAAATGAATACTTAATTTCTGTGGACATTTGTAAAGTTCGGCTAAAAAGTGAATGCGAATGCCTAACTATGCAAGTTGCTGGAGCCCTATTCTGCCATCATGTTCGTTGTCGAAAAGGATTAAGAGAGAATCGCATTATATACATTATTACATTCACAGCTTTAGTATGCAGGTATTACAAAATATATTTTCATATTAATAAACTTAGTCAGAAGACAAACCTACCATTGCTGAACGGATTCAAATATAAGTTTAAAAAAATATCTTAGAACTGTTTTTCTCTTTTTGTAAAAACATGGGCGGTTGGAAACCTGTGCGGGCGTGTTGATGTTATGCACTTTTGAGGCAATTTAGAAAAACGATATTGAACTTATAGTTTACACTTTGAACATTGCTATTGGTTTAAATAATTGATTGACAGGACATTACACAAATTACAGTGGGCAATAGGAGGTATTTCCGCTCTGATGGTCACAGTTAGCGGAAGCTACGCTTGTGAAGCTCAGAAACCGCCTCATCTTGCACTATTAAGAATTTCGCTGCTAACTTGCTAACCGTAACGTTATACAGGTTTCGTGTCGGCCTGAAAACGGACACGAAGCGACACACAAAGACCTTCGGAGTTACCTAGAATTAAAGGCTGCACATAGGAGCAGGGCAATGCCGCACAATTTCCAACCCGGCGATCTGGTCTTCGCCAAAATGAAGGGGTACCCCCACTGGCCAGCCAGGGTAAGCTAACACAGCAGGCTGAGGGAAGGGGGTGGATGGGACGCTGTCTGGAGGTTTGCTGTGCATCCTTGGCAGTGACTGACACAGGCATCATAGACAACTAGTCTTGCCTCGTGCTTATAATGTTAAACTGCTGGTGTTTTTTAACTGAAGTTCGCATTCGGTTTGCAAGATGTTGGCTATACCTTTGCATGTGTACTGAAATCAGGCTACTCTGTTGTGTGTTCACGTAACTTGGCTATTTCGTCCAATCAGCCAGCGCTAGCTAACAGCTAACTGTAATACACATGAGGAAACGTTGATGGATGAAATGTAGCTTTAATTATTTGGAGTTGCACATTTAGAGGCTCTATACATTAAGGTCGTCATAGTAACTACAGGATAGTTCACTATTCAGGCCAGTTGATGGTATATGCATCGAAGCACACATTTATTTTATACATCCACTATTCATAAACCTCTGCAGATGGTGTTCAGACACGGCCGTAATGTTGTCCTCTTGCTCAACATGACTTAAGGATCACACTACAAAAAGCAGACTCTCTCCTGTATCTTTTTGTGGATGTCTTTCTCAATGTTTTTTGTTCTTAGATTGAGGATGTGGCTGACGGGGCAGTGAAACCCCCACCCAACAAAATACCCATCTTCTTTTTTGGCACCCATGAAACGTAAGTTATGTGTTTCATTAATTAAAATAATAGCAGGGGGTCGTTTATTCTTTGAGTGGACTTGAAACTGTGATACTACATCAATGTAAGGTTGTTTTAGTGGACAGTTATTGATTTGATATTGCTATACTAAAACTAAGAGGTATGCTGATTTCCATTTACAGTTGGTTCTGTCTTTTTGAATGGCCCGTTAGTCCATGGTTTTACTTGAAGAAAATTTACAATTTCTTTTTATTAGAGTTCATACACGTTTGGAAAAATCATGTTATTTCTTTTGGTTGCTGTCAATAAGGATATAGGTGAATTTGTATGTGAAACTTCAGTTGTTTTATCTTACAGTCCTTGTTGTGCAAGATGACAAATAATTATATTAAACAGCCACTAGGTGGCGAAAGAATTCTGTGTTGCTTTTTCAGTCAGACTTACTGTCACAACAGTGAGCTGCTGGTGTTTTATATCAATGTATACTAGTGTATGTGACACTATAGCCTAAATCAGGGTTTCCAATTCCTTCTCTTTGGGCCTCTTTTTGAAACGCTGGTTCAAACACTATACTGGCTGCTGTTGTTTTAAAAAAAAAAAAAAAATTATTTAACCAGGTAGGCCGATTGAGAACAATTTCTCATTTGCAACGGCGAATTGGGGAGCAGCTGGGATTTGAACCCAGGGCGTCATACACACGAAGCATGCACTCGACCACTGAGCTGTCTTGATTCAACTAGTCAAATTCCAATGACTTGTCACAGTTTTGTTGTTGAAGTTCCATTTTTGGGTTACAGTTATATGTTAAAAGTCTTTGGCTGGTGTGGCCGATAACATCAGACTAATTCACATTAGATCAACTATTTAATTCCCAAGTCTTCAGGGTTTTGCTGTATTTATTCTTGTACTAAATGTTGTGTTTCTACCTCGATGGCTCGGACCCTGGGAACTGAGCTTTGGGCCCTGTAAACATGCCTTGGCCGGTGCCAGGCAATGCTACTACACCTTCTTGGCCATGATTTGCTTTATTGTAAACACAGTCTTTACTCAAAGTTAGGGCTTTCACGATTCTGACATTTCAAGTGACGATTAATTGTCACACAAATTGTTGCGATTCACTTTTTAATTTTCTGTATTGTTAATTTCATTACACTATTAGTGTCCCAAGCCTAATAAATAATATTCATAATCATGTAATTATTAACATATGCCAGAAGAAGTCTTTCATTGACAATGGACATTGGAACTGTTTTTACTGTATTAAACTCTTTTATGGAAACATATTTTTGCAGTCTAAAGATTGTCCATAAAAGAACTACATAATCACAATCAGGCGATTATGTAAAGCTGTGTAAACCCCACTCTCTGGTAATTTGTCTGTTGTAATTCTGAGCTTTTTCTTTTTACAGACAAATGCAATTGAAGTTTGTAAAAATGAAATGGAAGTAATGTTTGTCAAATTAAAATACCTTCGCATTAGATTATATACGTTTTCTTCCTTAGAGCATTTCTTGCACCAAAGGACCTTTTTGCCTATGAGAAGTACAGTGAGCGGTATGGGAAACCTAATAAACGGAAGGGCTTCAATGAGGGCTTGTGGGAAATCCAGAACAACCCTCACGCCTCTTACAGTGCTCCTGCAGTGAGTACATCTTATTCCTAGAAATGCAAATTAAGTTTTCAACAACAACAGTGCTGTTACTCCTGGTGATGTTACTTCTGTGCTGCACACCCTGAATTCTTAGTTCTTAATTTAGGATGTGATTGACTGCCCACACAACTGTACCATGTAGATGGCCTTGTACTGTTAGTATTATCTGCAGGGTTTGTCAAATCTAATTCAACGACCACTTATGCTGATTCTCAGGGGGTAACTGGGATTTGGGAAGTGGGGAAATCCTACTTTTGGGGTCTAGGTAGTTGGGGAGGGATGTCAAACCTATTCCATTGAAGGTAAAGTATCAGCATATTTTTGCTCCTATCTTGTACTTCATTGATTCGTGAAGTTCACTAATAGTTAGGAATTCCACTCAATTAGTTGTCTAGGTTTTCATTAGACACCAATTTCGGAAAAACAGACAAACCAGGATCCAAATTGGCATGATCTCTAGACCAAGTTAACTACCGTTGATGCTTTATCTCTTCATTCATTCCCCAGCCAGCCAGCTCGTCTGACAGTGAAACCAATGAAGGCGCAGCTGGAAGTGATGCAGAGGATGATGATGAGGAGGAGGAAGCAGTGGTGCCAAGTAAAGCAGATTCAGGAAGTGACTCTGATTCTGGAAGTGATGATCAAGGAAGAAGACGAGGAGGAGGAGGAGGTGGTGGTGGCGGCGGTGGTGGTGGAGGAGGAGGCGGTGGAGGAGGTGGAGGAGGTGGTGTGAAGAGAAAGGCCCCTGCAGCCAAGGTGATATTACAATTATTTATGTTTTGGGATATTAGTTCCTACTAAACAAAACTGCTTTTGCTTAGATGTGTCTCTGCTCTAATGTACAATCTGTAATTCAGCGGCCCCCTGTGAAGAAGTCTCGGGGGTCGTCCAGTGACCGGGATGTAGCGGAGAGTGGCTCCCCCTCTGAGCCAGACCCCTCCCCATCTGACTCAGACTCTGGAAAGAACAGTGACCAGGTCAGTTGTAACAAACATACATACGCATTAGGGATGTTAACCGGTGACTGTTTGACCGGTGGTTGACCGTTTCGACGTTAACCGGTCAAAGTTATTGTTAGTCGGTTAAAAAAAGTGATCTCTAAATTAGGCAATTATAAATATTGGAATAAACGCTACTACAGTTAGCCATCTCATTCCAATATGTAATCATTTTCATAATCGCCTGTTTTGAAAACCAATAAAAAAAACATTTTGCGCGCCGTCACACCTTTTGGGTTGCGTCTCTTCTGAGATGTCATTTTCTCAAATGAGCCGCGGCAATGTTTCTAATGAGCTTCTGACGCTAGACAAACGACTTTATTTTAAAGCGATCGCCTGGCAGAGAGATGAGACAGAGTTGAGAAATTGCAGGCGCGGCTCGAAATGGCTGTTATTTCAAATAGCATAGCATATTTTAAACTAAACGGTTAACCGGTTTCAACCGGTTAATGAGTCTCGGTGACCGGTCAAGAACATTTTTAGTTTTCGCCATCCCTAATACGCATACACACACACACACACACACACTAGGACTGCACGATATTGGAAAAAAATTACATTGCGATATTGCGAGTCATCAATCCAGGCTAAAGTTAATAATTACCATTCCATCAGACCGTACTGTCAGACTCATGTAGGGCTCCGTTGTCCTACTGGACCATAAGTCTGTTGTAGCTGCATAGTATTCCACGAATGACAGCTTATAAGTGGATGGTATGTCAAGGGTCCGGATCATTTTCTTAAATCCCTCTTTGGTGACGGTGTTTAATGGCAACATATCTTTAGCGATATAAAACGTTATTGTGTCTGTTATTTGTTTCCGTCATTGAGAGCCTTTCTGGTAAGGTGTCACACTGGCCAAGGCATCGCATAGTTTTTTTTGTTTTGCTTGACTGTATTCGCCGTAAAGCTTTGGGGTGCCGTTGTAAGTGATCAGACAAATTGGTGGTGTTTCCCTGTTTTGTGGCCACAACTTTATAACACTCCAGGCAAAGTACCTGTTTATGGTCAACATCCTCATTTTTTTAGCCGTTTATGTATAATATTAATTATTATTATACATAATAATGACATCTCCATGGTTGTCTAAATACATCCATCGTTTATTTAGCAAACAAATTATTGCTAGTGCGCATGTCCATCATGACGTCATGGGCCAGTCAACGCGGAAGATCCAAGCTCCATGTTGGCTTTATGCGCTTTTGAGCCTCTCATTGGAATGTACGGGGCTTCCTGCCAAACACTGTATCCAGTTCTCTTAATACATCCATGGTGCTACCATTCTCTTAATACATTTATGGGTGCTACCCTTCATCACATCGCATGTTCCGACAATGTGACTATCGCGATGTCAATGCTAAAACAGAATATCGTTCAGCCCTAACACACACACACACCATACAGTAGCATGAAAATTATTTATTGTTCTGTTGCCTCCTTGTTTGCCCCTGTAGGACTTCACCCCAGAGAAGAAGGCAGCAGCTGGCCGAGGTGGTGGCCTTGGAAAGAAATCCGGAGGTGGCAGAGGGAAGAAGAAGGTGAGGATGGTTTCAAAACATACAAATGATCTTCCTGGTATCCTGCTATCTCTCTGTAATGGTGTTTTCATTTTTTTCTGTGTGGGGTGCTGTAGAAAGCATCCTCAGACTCAGAATCTGGGTCTCAGTCGGACAAAAAGAAAGGAGACAGTGACTCAGACGATGAGAAACCACGCCCTGCTCTGTCTGGATCAGAATCCCAGTCTGGCTCCAAATCTGACTCTGACTCAGAACCGCAGCCTCCTCCAAGGAAGGCACCGCAAGCTCGCAAGAGAGGTGAGGGATCTTCTGTATCCCAGTGTATGTTCACACTATTAGTCAGTGCATAACATTGTCCCTGTTTGTCCTATTTAGAGAAGGCGGCTCCAAAGCCTCGGGGTGGACGGAAACCCAAAGCTGCACCGGCCAGAGCTCCAGCCAGAGCACCGACGTCTTCCGATGACAGCGACAGGTCAGCATGGCTCTAGTCTGTTCCACAATGTGTGTATTACACGTGTGTTTGTATTATAACGATATGTGTCAATACGCCTACTAATACCGGCCTTCTGTAGTGATAGTGAGCCTGACCGAGTCAGCGATTGGAAAAAGCGAGACGAGGAGCGTCGGAAAGAGCTGGAGGAACGGCGAAAGAAGGAGCAGGCAGAGGAGATCCTTAAGTTTCGAGAGAGAGAGAAGGAGGAAGATGAGCAGAGAAAAAAGGACAAGGAGAAGGGAAAGAGTAGCGGTGACAGCAGCTCAGATGAGGGTGTAGATGATCATCCTCTAAAGAAGTCCAAGAAACCCCCACCGCCCCCTATCCCCGCCCCCTCCGACTCGGACTCTGGGCCTGAGGTAACTAGCATGGAAGACTCTGTAAAGAAGACTTCTGTTTTTTTTAATCATCTTAACCCTTTTGGCATTTCTGTGGTTCTCCTATTCAGGTGAAGAAATCGGTCAAGCGTTCAGACAGCCAGAAGAAAGGTAGAACAAAGAAAGAGAAAGATCATGGGAAAAGGGAGAAAGACGTAAAGGAGAAAAGAGTCCAGCGGTCTGAGGAGAGGAACAGAGGGAGGTGAGTGGCCCCAGGCTGAGCCAGACAAAATTATACAATACACAGATCCCATTCGATGTTATTTTAATGAAATTTAAATGCACACAGATCACTGAGTTCTCTCCATCAGGTCTAAGCCTGAAAAGCCCAAACGCAAACCAGAGAGACCTCCAGAAAAGAAAATAGAGAAGAAAAAAGGTCAGAGCTCATTTTTGTTCTGTTAATATTCTGTTATTGCATATTTGCATAGTTTGTGTGAAGAACGGTTGGTCACGTACAGTTTAGAGACAGATATAATATCAAGCCTTTGCCTTTTTTTATGTCTGCACACAGAGCCAACACCAGACGAAAAGCTGCAGAAACTCCACACTGACATCAAGTTTGCATTGAAAGTGGACAACCCCGTAAGTAACCAAAATGCACTCCATTCATTGAAGACAGAAAAGTTATTGTCACAAAATTGTGTGACATGCAGCATGAGGTACTCAATTTGTTGTTTACAAATGAAAAGCCAATC